CACAATTGTTATTAGAATATTACCGTATTCATACAGTCGACCCCAACCAGCACTCACACATTCAGTACCGACTGCAAAATCTTCACCAAAGCAAATAGGCTGTATAAATGCACTGTAATTGACTGGTCTTTCTAGCCTCAGAAGGGCAATGTCATTCGCTAACGTATAATAATCATAGTGTGGATGGGGAAGCGCCTCAGCTACGCCAACCTCCTCATAAAAGACTGAAGAATGAAACTCAAGATCTGTGGTGCCGAATCTGATGTAGTCTATTCTACCACTAAGAGAAAAACACATATTTTACAATAAAGTTAAGCATTAGTTCTCCGTCTCTGTTCACACAATTAGAAACAATGATACCATAAGAAATGCTTATATAGCCATGCGTAAGTTACGTAAAACAAATTGGTTAGAACTATCACACTACAAAAATGTGAATGAAAATATATCAATTGGTCTAGTCGACATCATAAGGATGTTTTACAAACTGAAAAATAAATTATATTAAGGTTTTATAGACGATTTAGTGAAAAACATATACAGTACTTATCTAAACCCTTACAGACAATGAGCAGCTGTCAATGCCCATTCACGATCAATCAATGCAGCACCACAATAATGAGATCCATATACTGTGATTGAACCAATCCACGGCCATTTCCCTGGTGGTACATCTTCACCTCCAACAATCCTATCTTCAGCAGGTAAGAAAGGTTGTGATCCACATTTTTCAGAAGTAACTGTTATAAAGAAATAGCTTTTATTTCATTTTCATTTATTTATTTCCCAAATTGTTACAAACATCACAAACCTAACTATTCTGGTGGATTGTCACAAAGCAAACAAATTCACTGTGCAAAGACTCTCCAACTAGTACTAGAACAGAAACAAACAGGGTTTAATTAACATAAAACAGACAAAAAAAGCAGACGAAGCAGAGAAAAAAAGTGAAATCACCAAAAAGAAATAAATCGGTATTACAGAAGAAGGGATCTCATCCCACATCTGTGGGAATACATAAAAACGGAGTTAAAAAAAGCATTTGTACAGGCCTTAGCATGTCTAAAAACAATTTTCTCACTTCTACGGGCAATGGGCTTACTCAAGTTAGAGTAAAAATAGTGATCGACATTACAGGTTTTAGTCTGATAATGGATGGATTTATTCGGTGTACACCAAGGATAACCCAAAAAAGTCTAAATATGACTTATTTCCAGTACACCGGGACACAATCCAATACTATTTTCCACATTTTTTAGAAGTAAATGTTATAAAGAAATAACTTACTCGAGTTAAAATAGTGATCGACATTACAGGTTTTAGTCTGATAATGGATGAATTTATCCACTGATTAATCTCAGATAAGAAAGTATAATACATACTCCAAGTATTAAAATACACGCCATCGTGTTGGGATTCAATATTTCGACATTAATTATGTCATCATCATTCCTGATGATGACATAATTAATGTCGAAATATTGAATCCCAACACGATGGCGTGTATTTCAATACTTGGAGTATGTATTATACTTTCTTATTTGGATGAATTTATTCTGTGTAAACACCAAGAATAACCCACAAAAGTCTAATAGGACTTATTTCAAGTTGGGTCCCTCTGGTGGTGATTGAGCAGTACACCGGGACACAATCCAATACTATATTCTTTAACGTGCACATGGGCCATAATGCACAATAGACCAATGGCTTAAACGTCTCATCCAAAAGACAGTGCGCTATTATTGCCCTCCAGCTGAAACACAAGGAAAGCAGCAATATGAATTGAACCAGGGACCGCCTAGAGATGTCCACGCTTCAGTGCACACACAGTGGCTACCACCAGTTTAGCTGACTAAGCTAAGCTGCTCTCACTAATAGTCACATTGGTTGCAAGATTAAGCATGGTATACCTATGAAGAAAAATGTCAGTACAGTGCCAATAGGATTTTGGCACAGACGACTCTCAATTTCTATTTCATATTTAAAAATAACAAATTGTTGTTTGGTATACAAAAAAGAGTATAGTTAAAATATAAAAGAAAATTTTACACAATATGTGAAATAATTCCTATATTCAAAAATACAAAGTAATCAATGGCTCACTTGCTTTAGTTGTAAACTTATTTTTTTTGAAAAATTTACCAAAATATAAAAAAAGATTTGCAAACACTCTGATTTAGAAAGATTGTGCGCATTATACCCAAATACTACAAATTGGAGTTTCTGCATATTCTACGCAAAAGTCTAAATAGGACTTATTTCCAGTTGGGTCCTTCTGGTGGTGATTGAGCAGTACACCGGGACACAATCCAATACTATATTCTTTAACGTGCACATGGGCCATAATGCACAATAGACCAATGGCTTAAACGTCTCATCCAAAAGACAGTGCGCTATTATTGCCCTCCAGCTGAAACACAAGGAAAGCAGCAATATGAATTGAACCAGGGACTGCCTAGAGATGTCCACGCTTCAGTGCACACACAGTGGCTACCACCAGTTTAGCTGACTAAGCTAAGCTGCTCTCACCAATAGTCACATTGGTTGCAAGATTAAGCATAGTATACCTATGAAGAAAAATGTCAGTACAGTGCCAATAGGATTTTGGCACAGACGACTCTCAATTTCTATTTCATGAAAATTGATTTGCAATTAATAAAATGGTGAAATAAAATGCACGAAAAAAGGTGATTCCCTATTCCAGATTACCTAAAAAGCCAATTGATAGTTAGAACCGGGCAGGCTGTTTTGAAGGTCAATCAACAAAAATTAAACAAGTGTATGTGGATTGGCCTGGATACCGTAGGATACTTACATAACCATAACTTGGCATATTAATACTAAATAACCATGAATTGGCATATTTAGACTAAATAAAATCATTATTGTATTTTTGGGTAGTTTCCACAATCCAATACTATATTCTTTAACGTGCACATGGGCCATAATGCACAATAGACCAATGGCTTAAAGGTCTCATCCAAAAGACAGTGCACTATTGTAACTTGTAATTCAGCCCTCCAGCTGAAACACAAGGAAAGCAGCGATATGAATTGAACCGGGGACCGCCTAGAGATGTCCACGCTTCAGTGCACACACAGTGGCTACCACCAGTTTAGCTGACTAAGCTAAGCTGCTCTCACCAATAGTCACATTGGTTGTAAGATTAAGCATAGTATACCTATGAAGAAAAATTTCAGTACAGTGCCAAGAGGATTTTGGCACAGACGACTCTCAATTTCTATTTCATGAAAATTGATTTGCAATTAATAAAATGGTGAAATAAAATGCACGAAAAAAGGTGATCCCCTATTCCAGATTACCTAAAAAGCCAATTGATAGTTAGAACCGGGCAGGCTGTTTTGAAGGTCAATCAACAAAAATTAAACAAGTGTATGTGGATTGGCCTGGATACCGTAGGATACTTACATAACCATAACTTGGCATATTAATACTAAATAACCATGAATTGGCATATTTAGACTAAATAAAATCATTATTGTATTTTTGGGTAGTTTCCTATTGGAGTTCAGATTAATAACGGCGACAGTTTTAATCCTTATTTAAATACAATATTTATTCATTTGTATAAAAGCTAACAGGCCTACAAGTGCCAGGTACCAAGGAGACAGAAGCCTGTAAGGGGACCCCAGACCTAATCTTAAACTACAGTAAAGTCTACAGCTTATCTCATGCAAATTAAACACAAACAGATAATGAAAGATAAACAATAGAATGCGACAAAAAATTAAATAATATTAATAATAATAAAAATAATAATAATAGTACAATAAAACGATATTTCAGTATTCCTTAAATTCCACCTACAAACAACGAAAAAGTGTGGTGTGTGAAACGTTGAGTGTACAATTGAGTAAATACCATCATTTAAAATTGTGAAAAAGTAAACAATTACATAGAAATATACATTACTATACTATAAAATACAATACAATTTTAAAAATTATTTTTTCACGTTCAAAAAAATCTGCTGGTGCTTAGTCACATTAAACACACCAATCCCTCTCTGCGAATTACTCTTACCATTCCAGCAGCCTTGTTCATCTGACCAATCGAGACAGTTATTTTCTCGGTCACATCGTTTTGCAGCGGCAATACAGATACCATTCGCACACTGAAAACTGTCATCACTACAAGCTGTAAACAAACAATCATTGTTTTATAATACAATTATATTACATTGATAATAAAGTGTCATGTTTATATTTCATTTAGCATTATGATACAATTGGTGGAACGCGTACAGATAGCGTTTAGAGATGAACTGAGGGTTATAACAGGGAGGCCTACTGGTAGGGTGAGCTCTTATTTAGTCAAATGAGCATTTTATATTTAAAAATAACAAATTGTTGTTTGGTATACAAAAAAAGATTATAATTAAAATATCAAAGAAAATTTTACACAATATGTGAAATAATTCCTATATTCAAAAATACAAAGTAATCAATGGCTCACTTGCTTTAGTTGTAAACTTATTTGTTTGAAAAATTTAACAATATAAAAAAAGATTTGCAAACACTCTGATTTAGAAAGATTCTGCGCATTATACCCAAATACTACAAATTGGAGTTTCTGCATATTCTACGCAAAGACTCAAAATTTTGTAGATTACACTCCAGCATTTGTGTATGATTTATTTCCATACTTACGGCAAGACTGTAGCTCGTCACTGAAGTCAGCACAATCAATGATTCCATCACACACTTGTTCCAATAATACAAATTCAAAATCATCACATACAAAAATTTCTATAAAAAAAACAAAAAAAAAAAAACAACATGCTATTAGGATATCCTTAGAATTTATCACCCATCAAACAATATTCGGGCTGTGAACCGAAGAGGAGTCATTTATTGTTTCATAATTGTTAAGAAGTTATAAAACATACATTTTTATGTGACAACATCCATCACAATAAAGAGATGATTGCCATAATTTTGAAATCACCTCCATCAAAGAGTTTACTTCCACCAGAAAGAGTTTACCCCTTCATCTTAGGGGAGGTTTTGTAATTTTGTAAATATAATGGAAACGCATAACACTTTACACTGCCTTTGTATATTGGGACGAAGAGACCACCAACAGCTACAAAAAGGATATGTCGTATAACAACTTCTTGAAAATAAAATCCAAGGCAGAAAAATAAAAATCCACAATCCAACAACTTCTTGAAAATAAAATCCAAGGCAGAAAAGTAAAAATCCAGAATCCAACAACTTCTTGAAAATAAAATCCAAGGCAGAAAAAGGTAGAAAATCCTTCTCGCAGTAGCGAACACGAGACACTTGGTACTAATTGATCCAACACTTCTAAAGGAGGTTCACTTTCAACGAACGTCGAAAAGGGAATGAGGACGTTTGTTAGGGAGACGGTTCGTACGTGGCGCTCTGGGTCAGACTGTTCCATTTATTTCGAAGGGGTGTTCCGTTTGGGAACCATGGCAAATAGTCAGTTATCCAGGTAAGTATTCACGAAATAGACAGCATAAATTGTAAACAAAAAATGAGCTATAGGAATGGTGTATTTATAAGTGGTTAGCAATTTTGTAGGTGAATGAAAGTTGTTCTGATTAGAAAAAGGAGTATGTATTGAGGTTGAGAACTGTAGAAAGTGGGAGTAGAAATTAGCAGTTCTTGAGTAGGTATTTGTAGCAATAACTACATGCAGAAATTAACTTGGATTATTTGTTCAATATTTTTTTATGATCAGATGCGATGATGTATTATTTTTCGCTCGTTGAATTATGCTTCACTTAATGGTGAAGTGGGTGTTCTTGCTTTTCAGTTTCATTTCATTTATTTCATTTCATTTATTTAACCAAAAACAATTATAATGTAAAAGGATAAAACAGTCAAAAAGAACAAAAAAGATACAATAAATGTTGGTCTCTAATTCCCCACAAGGGCCGACAGGATAACCAAAAAGTAAAATAAATTACTGTCAAAGTGGGTTTCCATCCGATGTGGGGAATCAGAGAACAGCAAATAACACAGACAATGTGTTCTCATATTCACTTGGACAGTCTTGTCCCGCGGTGGTTGAAAAAGTGGTTGTGTGCAGTGTACTGTAACTGTAGTTAACAGTTTTTCCATTAGACCAATATAATGCTTGGTGTCATTTTGTGTAGTGATGTCGGTTTGTAGATAAAGTTGTAGATGAGGCAAATTCCATTTAATATTAATGGGCACTCATTTTTCTGTCTGCATTCCACACAAAGAATTACCATTACGTTTTATTTTACTTTGACAATGACAATACAGTTTACATCTATTAAATCAAACTTACCACTTAAATCAACTGCTTTCACAGTTGCATTGAAGCCTCTGTAAGTTACAATTTCATCTGTATCCATTACTACCAACAATTCGTTGCTCTCAGACAATACAGAGTGGAAGTTTACTCCCGTAAAACTGATATCAGTCATGTTTTCAGAAATTATCCTCACATAATCATATCTATTTTCAAGGCTGAAGTCATTGAACTCGAGCAGTATTGCTAGATCCTCTGGGACATATATTATCCATTGACAATACAAGTTATTGTAGTAATTGTTCGGGTAATTTGGAGACGAAAATGATTGCGATTGGCCAGAAGTGTTCAGG